TCCTTTTTTTTTCTTTTTTAGCCTTTCCCTATCTCTCTTTTCTTCTTTAAGCTCCATTTTCCTTCCTTTCTCCTTCCCCTCTTACCTTCCTTCTTCACCTCCCTCCGTGGACAGTCGTGGATATGATATATTTGCATAAACTGTCTAATTGATTCAGTTCTATGTACAGTACTTGTGTTGAAGGATGATAAGGATGATAATAGAGTTGAATAGGATTCTCATAGGTTCATCATATGGTGTGTGTGTGTGTGTGTGCATGCGTGTGTGTGTGTGTGTGTGTGTGTGTGTGTGTGTGTGTGTGTGTGTGTGTGTGTGTGTGTGTGTGTGGTGTGTGTGTGTGTGTGTGTGTGTGTGTGTGTGTGTGTGTGTGTGTGTGTGTGTGCACGTGTGTGTGTGTGTGTGTGATTTATGAATATCTATGTTGTGAATTATCACCCATTATACGCCAAAATGAAACGACTTTTACATCATTACCAGCGTAAAAATGTAAGCGCAATGGACAGAAAAAAACAGCAAAATAATTATATGATGATAATGATAACGACTAATAGAACCCACATAAAATCAAGGAATAAAAAAGTATACTCCTTTTCTCCCCCTTTCACCCTTCTACTTTTTGCCTCGTCTATCCCTTCTCCCTTCCCTTTCCCAATCTGCCACTCCATCTCCCTCCCAAATCTTCCTGGAATTCAGTCCTCCCTTAACCCCTTTTAGCCTTTCATCTGTTCCCTCCCACTTGCCTCCTCCTCCTCCTTGAATTCCCTGACCTTCTTCACTTCCTTATCACCTTCCCTTCTCTCCTATCCCACTTATTTTTCCCTTTTTTCTTCTTTAGGTCTCTTCTGTTTCCCCTTCCTCATCACCCTTTTCTCTTTAAGCTCCCATCCTTTCCCTTTCTCTCTCTCTCTTCCCTTTGTTCTTCCCTTTCTCTCTCTCTCTTCCCTTTGTTCTTCCCCTTTCTTTCCCCTTCCCTTCCTACCTCCTTCCTTAAACTCTCCTTCGAATAATCGTGTAAATGATGTAGGTATCAACTATTAGTCTAACTACGTAAATGTAGAGTACCTGTCTCGAATGATATTGATTATATCGAATGATAATGATAATGATAATAATAATGGATAATAATAAATAATGATAATAATAATAATGATAATAATAATAATTAATAATAATAATCAATTAATAATCATAATAGTAATTGATAATAATAATGACAACAATAACAACAACAATAATGATAAAAACAATACTAATAATGTTAATAATGATAATAATAATAACAATAATAAAATACAATACAATTAGATAGGATTTTCATAGATTCCTAACATGACTTATATAAGTATATTATAATGGGGAAGGGAAAGGGGTTTCAGAGAGAGAGAGAGAGAGAGCGAGGGGAGATAGATAGATAGATAGATAGATAGATAGATAGATAGATTAGATAGAGAGAGAGAGAGAGAGAGAGAGAGAGAGAGAGAGAGAGAGAGAGAGAGAGAGAGAGAGAGAGAGAGAGAGAGAGAGAGAGAGAGAGAGAGAGAGAGAGAGAGAGAGAGAGAGATGAGAGAAGCGGGATAGATAGATAGATAAACAGAATAGAGAGAATTTAGATAGATAGATAGATAGATAGATTAGATAGATAGATAGATAGATTAGATAGTTATAGATAGATAGATAGATGATGAGATGAGAGTGAGAGGATGAGAGGAGAGGAGAGTGAACTGATGAGAGATGGGTGGAAGCCGAGACGATAGATAGAATAACGCATAGATAGTAGAATAGATATCTCTTCTTATATCTTTCGTTTTTGTTTTTTTACTGTATTCTCGATTTGTCTTTTTTTTGTTTCCTTTTTGTGTTATATGGGATAGAGACTGAAGGACGAAGAGAGATTGAGGGAGAGAGATGATGAGAGATGAGAGAGAAGGAGGGAGAGAGAGAAGAGAGAGAGGAGAGAGTGAGAGCTGAGTATGATTAGAATAGATAGTTATAGATAGATTAGATAGATAGATAGATAGAAGATATGAGAGATGGATCGATAGATCGAGATCGACGAGATTAGCACGAGAGAGAGGAGATTGAGAGAGGATGAGAGAGAATAAGAGAGAAAGAGAGAGAGGATTGAAGTTGGAGAATGACGGAAGAATGGTGGTTAAAGTGATGCGAATGAGATTGCTTGGATGAGTTTAAGCGAGTAATGAAAAGGAAAGCTGGGCTTGATTTTGGTCACATGCAAGGCTTTTTAAAGTTTAGGGAGGAGTGAGTAAGGAAGTTTAAGCAACTCTTGTTTTATAGTGAGAGTGAATGTGAGATGTGGAAGTGAAGAGTGGAAATGACCAGAGCAGGAAAAAGCGTGAGTGAGTGTACCATGAGTGGAGACGGGTGAGATGTGGTCTTCGAGATTTGAGATGTAATAAAATGGTAGGATTAGAAGAGGAGTAAGAATAATATTTCTGTTCCATGTATTGTCCACGTTTAGTCCACTAGTAAATTGTACAATAAACAGAGATAATAGTTTAATTAGTTGTAGTATTACAATTCCAGTTATCATATGATCATTATCCATAACCAAATAACTAAGGAAAATTATAATGATTGATGATCCCATATATTCATAATAAGAAATAAATTGTTGAATAATAATAATAGTATTACTAATAATAGTAATGACAATGATGAGTGGAATAAAAATGAAAAAATGAATAAATAAATAATGATATAATGTTATAATGATAAATAATAATAATAATAATAATAATAAAAAAAGATTAATAATGATAATTAATAACTTATCTTTTATAACAATTACTACTATCAGATATTATTCATCATTATTATCATTATCATAATGTCAAATACCAGCAATGATAAATATATAATGATAATGATAAGAGCAATAATAATAATATTGATAATGATAATAGCAATAACAACAACAATAGTAATAATGATAATGATGATAATAACAATTGATAACAACAACAACCAATAATAATAAATATATGAAAATAATAATAATAATAATGGATAATAACAATAGAGTCCCACTAGTAAATGTAACAATAACAAAAATAATAATTAACTATTTATTCCAGTTATCATATGATCAATTATCTTAAAACAATAATAAGGAAATATGATTAATGATGAGAATGATGATAATAATTGATAATTTAATAATAATAAAAAAATAATAATGATAATAACTAACAACAATAAGGCGTAATACGATGCGAATATCGATAATAACGATGATAATCGAAATGATAATAATAACAATGATAATAATGATAATATTGATAATTAATAATAATGGATAACAATAAATGATATAATCATGATAGTAATAGTAATAATAATAATAAAAATGATAATAGTAATGATAGATAGACAACAATAACCATGATGAAAATGATAATGATAATAACAATAATGATAATAACAAAAACAATAATGATCATAATATCAATTATAATGACACATGCATAAAAAAACGATGAAAATATGATAATGATGATAATCATAGTGCTAACAATAAGAAATAAAATAATGATAATAACATCAATGATGATAATGATTATATCAATAACAGTGGTAATGAAGAAGATGATAATTCATAATAGTCATTATAATGTTAATAATAACGTAATGATAAAATAGTAATAAAAATGATGACAATAACATGAGTATTTGGTTCTTAATTTATACCAATTTTCGATATTGACGATATCACGGAGGTAAATTTTTTTTTATTATATAAGTACTCTAAATGAGATACATAGATATAGAGATAGATAGATAGATAGATAGATTAGATAGAGAGGAGAGAGAGAGAGGAGAGAGAGAGGAGACGAGAGAGAGAGAGAGAAGAGAGAGAGAGAGAGAGGAGAGGAGGAGAGAGGGAGATAGAGGAGAAGAGAGAAGAGGAGAAGAGAGAGAGAGAGAGAGAGAGAGAGAGAGAGAGAGAGAGAGAGAGAGAGAGAGAGAGAGAGAGAGAGAGAGAAAGAGAGAGAGGAGAGAGAGAGAGAGAGAGAGAGAGAGAGAGAGAGAGAGAGAGAGAGGAGAGAGAGGAGAGAGAGAGAGAGAGAGGAGAGAGAGAGAGACAGAACAGGAGAGAGAGACTAGAAAAGACAGACAGACAGATAGATAGATTAGATAGATAGATAGATAGATAATAGATAGATAGATAGATAGAGGAGAAGAGAAAGAGGAGGAGAGAGAGGGAGAGAGAGAAAGAGAAAGAGAAAGAGAGACAGAGAGAGAGACAGACAGATAGCGACGAGAAAGATGGGGCCAACATCCCCGCATCAACCAAGTCTAATGAAAATGACGTATATTCGCAGGTGAGTGAGTCAGCCACATGCTACACCTGTGCTGGGTAGCGCCCCCACCCTCCCTCCAATCCCCTTCCCCCTCCCACTCCCCTCTCGACCCTCCCCCTCTTCACTCTCTCACTTACGTTCTCCTTTCACTTGTGAGCGGCGGGTCGTTGGAATCAGCAGCACAGGGTCCGTCAGTCGAAAGTGCGTGGGATGTTACGTAAAAATAAAAAAAGAATAATTATGAAGTTAAATATGCGTGGTTGTTCTATGGTACAGTGTAGTTGCGAGAACGTTGGAGGATTCGTGTTTATTATAAAATTCGGAAAACGTTGTATTTCGTTGTTTTTTTTATTTTTTGTATGGTTTAGGAAACGGGGACAAGTGACAAGTTGTGAATATTCAGTAAGCCTGTAATTCGAAATAATCGTACACACACTAAACACACATACACACACACGCACACACTAACAAACTATCACTCACAAACACCCACACGCAAACACATTTAAACCCATACACAAGATTTAAATAACTCTCCAAAACCTCATGGCAAATTTTATCCACAGTATATAAGAAATAAAAAAAAAACTATCCAAAAAGTGACTGAAAAATTATCCCGTATCCATTTTCCGAAATCTGTGCCAGTGAACACAAAACACACTGTAAAAATAATCAAAGATAAAGTGGAATTACGTTTTTTCAAACCACGTCTACAGAAAGGTGAGTTTTAGAAGTTATTTTTTTTCTTCATTTTTCAGGTATGTTATACTTTCGGAATATCAACTTAGGTTATTTTGTTCATTTAGATATATTACATTTTCAATCAATGATAAGGTCAGGTCATACAACTGTCTTAGGAATATCAGTAGAAGTCAAGGAAGAGAAAATGATAAAAAGAAATCATGAGAGATGATGAATGATATAATGTCAGTGATGTTTGAGAAAGATTAAGATGAATAGTAATAGAATAATAAAAAATAATTTGATGATGACGATGATAGCAGTCATAATAACGAAATTATGGTCCGCTTACTGATAAAAAATAAAGATTATGATATGTGATGATGATGACGATGATAAATAATGATACTTTTGAGTTAACACGAACTGAGACAATAATGGTGTTACTTCTAACTTGCACACATATTGCTACTAGTCGCAATATAATGATAACAACAAAAATAATGATGATGATAATAATATCCTTGATAATGATAATAAAAGTAATAATAACATTAACGATAAGAATAATAATGATACTAACGATAACAATAAAGATAAAAGTAAAAATGATAATAATGACAAAACAATAATGATGATGTAATAATGACGTAATAATGAATAATGCTGCTGCTGCCGCTTATGATGATAATAGTAATATTGATGATAACAATAATGATAATACTACTAAAAATTAAACAAAAATGGTAATGATGATGACGATGGTGATGACAATGATAATATTGACGATGATGATGATAATAATAAGGATGATAACAATAATAATTATAATATAAACAAATTATGCTAAAATTAAAACAGTAACAGTGATATTAATGATCATTATGATAACGAGAATAGTAATGATAATAATAATAATGATGTAATACAAATAGTAACAATAATAACAATCCTTATCAGCATTACTAACATCACAAATCCTATGATACAAATATACACAACGAGTTTTTAGTCATAAGGACCACTGTACCGCTTTAGTCATGTGGCGACTGACATTTCGTGACGTGTTCGAAGTCGTCGTGCTAACGTCACAGGAGTAAACAGACAAATATATACCATTTTTTTTAGACTTTCTGTCTGTAATGATCCATTATATCCAGTAACATCTTTCGTTGTCTTATATGGATTTCTTGGTAGCAATACATCCTATTATAACATTAGTAAACTAGGATTATGTAATGAAGAAAACTCGAGGGGAACATTTGATATGGTAGATGACAAAGAAAACAATTAAGGGTATAGGGTATGTAACATAAGCAAAGTCTGTGATTGGCCAAAGGTTAGTTTACTGTAATGTTTGTGAACGAACACAAACTACATTCCTACTGGGGTTCTAGTGGTAGATGCGATAAGATCGAAAAAGTTACATTTTTGTTCTAGGATTTTTCACTTGTGTTGGGCCACCATGAACAATGCTATTATTGTTGATTTAACTGTGTATCATTATTATCGTTATCAGTTACAACATTAGAATCATTATTACTAATAATTCCAGTAGTACTGTTATAATTATCATTATCGTTACTATCATTTTCTTGTTACCATTAGTATCATTATTATTATTATTGTTTTGATGTTATCCTCCTCTACCTTCATAATCATTATTATTTCATCATTATTCTTTCTATTGTTGCGATTATTGTCATTATTATTGTTTTCATCATTATCATTTTCATTATCATCATAATCACAATTATCCCTATCATCATCAGCAGCATTATAATTGCCATTACCATTATCATCATTATTATTGTGATGATAATGATGATTATTGCTGTTATAATTGTTGTCGTTGGTGGTAGTGCTGCTATGATCAAAATTTTCATTATTGTTATCATCATCATTATCTTGATTATTATTACTATTATCATTATTAGTATCCTCTTTATTATTACTATCCTCATTAAGACTGCAATTATTATCATCATCATTGTTATCACCACTGTAGTTGTTGTTACTGTTGTCTTAATTATCATTATTGTTTTATAATTATCATCTTGATTACAAGAGATAACCAATAATTCTATCATTACCGTCATCACCATCATCTTCACCCTCATCACTATCACCACTATCACTGTCCTCCTAACTATGATGATGATGATTAACATCATATCCTAAGGCAATCACCACAACACTCATCACAAAATCACCACTATAATTAACTCACGCTAATATCATGTCATCAACAACGCCGTCAGCTTTGTGGTTTGAACGTCAGCGCAATCTTGACATCAACCTGGTGTTTAATGACGTCACGAATGTATTGTAAAAAAAAATCAGGATATAATTCCGTAAGAGGGGAAAGATTTTTTTTTTTTTTTTTTTTAGAGATAGATAGATAGATAGATAGATAGATAGATAGAGAGAGAGAGAGAGAGAGAGAGAGAGAGAGAGAGAGAGAGAGAGAGAGAGAGAGAGAGAGAGAGGAAGAGAAGAAAATGATCTACAAGAGTAGAAGAGTCAGTGAGAAGAAAAAGGAAGTATAAGAGAGAGAGAGAGGGAGAGGAAGAGAGGAAAATGATCTACTAAAGTAGAAGAATCAGTGAGAAGAAAAGGAGGTATAAGAGAGAGAGTGAGAGAGAGAGAGAGAGAGAGAGAGAGAGAGAGAGAGAGAGAGAGAGAGAGAGAGAGAGAGAGAGAGAGAGAGAGAGAGAGAGAGAGAGAGAGAGAGGAGAGAGAGAGAGAGAGAGAGAGAGAGAGAGAGAGAGAGAGAGAGAGAGAGAGAGAGAGAGAGAGAGAGAGAGAGAGAGAGAGAGAGAGAGAGAGAGAGAGAGAGAGAGAGAGAGAGAGAGAGAGAGAGAGAGAGAGAGAGAGAGAGAGAGAGAGAGAGAGAGAGAGAGAGAGAGAGAGACAGAAACAGAGAGAGATGTCTGTACCACGGTGTCAAATGGTTCTTTTTGACACCAAGTGACACCGTTTTGCAAGTACAAATGAGTGGAGTGATTAGTTAGAGGAAAGAATTGTAATGAGATTCAAGAAGGAGAGCTGATAAGACTTTTTTTTCTTTTTTTCTTTTCTTTTTTTTCTTTTTTTTAGGGGGGGACTCGTCAGGTCGTGGAAGGTGCATGTTTTACCCGGAAGCACAAACGAGGGCTTAAAAGGAATACATAAAAGAAGTGAGGGAATAGATCTTGCATACAAAGGCTACGTGTGTCTTCGGAAAAGCAAAAAAAAAAAAAAAAAAAAAAAAGAAAGTTCGATTTTTTCGTTGTGTATTTTGTTTGTTTAGAGCAGGAAATTAGATACTAAACACAGATATACACAATCACGTTCACACTTACACTCACGGACACACGCACGCACAAACCACACACACACACACACACACACACACACACACACACACACACACAAAACACACACACACACACACGCACACACACCGCGTCACACAACACCGCACACCACAACACACACACACACACACACACACACCACACACACAGACACACACACACACACACATCTTTCATGGATTTAAAAAAGGTAAAAGCGATTTATCACTAGGATTGTGCTGTCAGATCCTCTTTGCCTCGAAGGATCTTTCAGTCTGTTTCTTCTTTTTTCTTTCTTTTCTCATTCATACAAAAATATATACTTACAGCTGAGTTTATTGTATCCGGTTTCCTTTGTTCGTTGTCCTCTTTTCGCTTCCTGGAATGGAATTATATATATTGCGAAAGAATGACCCAATTTTACACTCACACACATACATATAGACACGCAGATACATATACATATAGACACACATTACGCAGACACGGATACATGTAGAAACACATTACACAGACACATAAACACGACATACACACAGACACATAAACACGACATACACACAGACACACGACAGACAGACAGACACACACACACACAACCACACTCAATATCACACTCTGTGATAACTAACAACGGTCACGTAATAGTATTTAAGTCATATATTTCGCATTTTCTCTGTACTGCCTAATAACAAAAACCAGTATTTTTTATTTTATTTTTTCTTATTTTTATCTTTTTTTTATTATTGTTATTACTTATTTTTTTTTTTTTTTACTTAATCCACCTATCAACTTCTAAAACCCATATAAATCCACATAAAAAAATGCCTTATTTTTGGTATCTGTTACAAGTCCGGGTCATCGCGTGTTGTTCAAAAGAATTATGTATCGACTGACATACTTACTGATGTTCACTTGTATGGCGAGTAATTGTTATGGACAGCCGTTCCCGACTCGCAAGGTCGTTTATTTAGTCCCTCTCAGGCCAAAATAACCCTTCGTGCAGAAGCTCCCAGTTTCGAATATTACAATTGACTGATTTTTTAACCTTTAGACGGTTTTCTTTTTTCTTTTTTTTGATAAATATTTCATCTATATTTGGGTTTATTTTTTCTATTTCATCTTGATAACGGTTTATTCTATATGTCCCTTTCAATAAATTTTATGTTTTATCCTCAACATCTCAAACTTTTACCCCTTTCTCGCCATATAATCTACAGGACCTTGTTAGTCTAATTCATATAGTCTTATAGTATGAATGAATCACTGAAAATTGCTAATGAAATTCTAAATCTTAAGAGACAAGAAGCAGACCTTTAGTTACAAATCTTATGCTATATTTAACACAATGCTGACAGATACTACTACAGGGAGACAGACATACAGATAGATAAATAGACAAATAGATAGACAAGTGGACAGAAAGCCAGACATACGAACAGGTAGTTAGATAGACAAACAGACAGACAGACATATAGATAGGCAGACACACAAACAGATAGGTAGCTAGACAAATAGACAGGCAGAGAGACAGATTCTTAGTTAGATAGACAGACAGACAAACAAATATGCAGTTAGACAAACAGACAGACAGATAGATAGAGAGATGGGTGGATAGATAGACTGACAGATAGACTAGATAGGTAGATAGACAGACAG